TCCAAACCTGGCTGCACATCAGCATTACCTCAGGAGCTTTTAAAAACACTTGCCTTTGCCCTTCTGGGCTAGAGGGCAGGTCAGACTCTCTCATGGTAGGACATATGCACTGACATTCTTAACCTCGAGTGAATTTTATATGAATCCAGACCAGCACCAGTGCAGCTGAGAGTCAGCCCCTTGGAAACACCCTAAGTAGACTACAGTACCCCCTTACCCCATCTTCAAGGCCAGTGTTCAGTAAAACTGTTGTCATAGCTAATTTTTTATTTGTTGTAATCACCACATGTCTGACTTTTTTAGTAAAGTTATATGAACTTTTGAAGAAAAGCTGCCCTAACATTTTATAAATTAATTTTTATTGGAATATACGTGCTTTGAAAAAAAGTTTTTTATTCTTATTTTTCTGACTCATTTTTTTACAGTATGTAGAGGAGATTTCTTTTATTGAAGAATAGCTGGTGTATATATTATTTGTTGCACATGTACAATATAGTGGTTTACAGTGTTTAAAGGTTATACTCCATTTATAGTTATAAAATACTGTCTGTATTCCCTGTGTTGTACAGTATAGCCTTGTGGCTTATTTATCTTATACGTAGTGGTTTATATCTCTCCGTCCCCGTCCCCCACGTTGCCCCTCCCTGCTTCATTCTCCCCACTGGGAACCACTGTGTAGGTTGTTTTCTGTATCTGTCAGTCTGCTGCTTTTTTTGTTATATTCATTTCTTGTATGTTTTAGATTCTTATATGTGACATCATACAGTATGTGTCTTTCTCCGTCTGACTGTTTCACTTAGAATAATACCCTTCACCTCTATCCATGTTGCTGCAAATGGGAAAAGTCCACTCTCTTCTTACGGCTGGATACTATTCTGGGAGGACAGGGGAGCCTGGTGGGCTGCAGTCCATGGGGTCGCAGAGTCAGACACGACTTAGTGGCTGAACAACAGCGACAAGTATTCTGTTGCATATATGTAGCACATCTTTATCCATTCACCTGCTGAGGGACACTTAGGTTGCTTCTGTGTCTCGGCAATTGTAAATAATGCTGCTGTGAACATTGGAGTGAATGTGCCTTTTCAAATTGCTTCCCTGGTAGCTTAGCAGTAAAGAATCCACCTGCCAATATAGGAGATGCGGGTGAGATCCCTGAGTCAGGAAGATACCCTGGAAAAGGAAGTGGCAACCCACCCCAGTATTCTTGCTTGAGAAGTCCCATGTGCAGAGGAACCTGGCGGGCTACAGTCCATGGGGTAGCACAAGAGTCAAACACGACTTAGTGACTAAACAGCAAGAAAGAAACATCTTTTCAGATCAGTGTGTTTGTTTCTGGATGTATACCCAGGAGTGGAATTTCTGGGTTATACGCTGGTTCTGTTTTTAGTTTTTTGAGAAGCCTCTGTACTGTTTTCCATGGCAGCTGCACCAATTCCCACCTATGCACATGAAACTTTTAACTGAATAACTGGAAAGATAATAAGTACATGCTTGCTTATTTGCGTATAGGTTTTGTTCTGTTTTGTTTTCTTAAAGGAAGCACACTTACACGAGACAGAGTAGGAAGTTGTGATGTATCATTTTTGACTGCCGTGAACCAGCTGAATCAAACTTGATGTAAGATGAAAAAGATGAAAGAACAGAACTCATCAGCTTGCGGTGGAGAACTGAACCTGTGATGACAGTGACTAGACTAGTAGCTGGCCTCGAATACTCGTTTTGTGGAGGGGGTTGGTCAGGTAACTTGGTCAAGGCCGCAAGGCCCGTAAGCGGTAGAGTCCAGGTGTGAAACCAGAACTCCCTGCTCCTCACCGTTGCTGTGTACTGCCTCCCCAAGTTATGTTTGGTCCCACGCAGCGCCCTAAATGTTTTTCTAATGTGTGTTTATTTGGCGGGTTTGGGTTAGCTGCTGCACGTGGAATCCTCGCTTTTGCCTGCGGTACCTTTCCTTGTGGTGCTCAAACCTGTGATGACAGTGACTAGACTAGTAGCTGGCCTCGAATACTCGTTTTGTGGAGGGGGTTGGTCAGGTAACTTGGTCAAGGCCGCAAGGCCCGTAAGCGGTAGAGTCCAGGTGTGAAACCAGAACTCCCTGCTCCTCACCGCTGCTGTGTACTGCCTCCCCAAGTTATGTTTGGTCCCACGCAGCGCCCTAAATGTTTTTCTAATGTGTGTTTATTTGGCGGGTTTGGGTTAGCTGCTGCACGTGGAATCCTCGCTTTTGCCTGCGGTACCTTTCCTTGTGGTGCTCGGGCCCTCTGGCCGTGGCCTGCAGGCTCCGGAGCGCACTGGCCCGAGGGTGCAGCGCTCAGGCGTAGCTGCCCGACCAGGAATCGGACCTGCATCCCTTGGATTGCAAGGCAGCTTCTTAACCCCTGGACCACCAGGGAAGTCCCTTTAAATATTTTTTGACTTAGTGGCCAGTGTTTGAAAAAAAAAAAGAAAATTTCACATGAAAACCTGGATTTTTGTTTTCCTTGAAATCCCGGGAGGTCTGTCGGCACCGGCCCTGTCCCCACGTGGCAGCACGTGGTGTGCTCGTTCCCGCTTTGCACATGCCCATCGTTTGGGAGCCGGGCCTCCTCTCGTCTGTTTGGTGGGCTTGTCTCTCTGGCATCCTGTCATTGCCTGTAAGGTTATTCTGCCCCTTCTTGTCTCTCAGCTTACGGTAACCGTGTATTGGATTCCAGCATGATCCTTTTCTGTTGTTCATTTTTAAACACGCTGTTTGTTTTCAGAACTTTAGGGAAAGAGAGAAATAGGAGAATTCAGGCTGTCCTTGGACCTCACCGCCCTTTCCCCTCCCTGTGTTTTATTACAATTGGGAATTAAGATCCAAGTTTTTCCTTATAGCATGCTTTTAAATTTTTTTTCAGTTTCCAATATTCCTTGCTCATACTTGAATTGGATTCCTTAGCCAGGTTACCTTCGTGGAGTTGTATCTGCCTCTGTACCTTCTTTTCTTTTAGATTCCCGGCTTCTCATTTCCCTGGGCATCTATTCTTAGGAATTTTGATTTGACTCATCTCTCCTATCCTTCCTCGGGTAGTTTTTTAGAGGAGGTAAATGAGTTGTACTTGAGTTCTTCGCTATTCAGAGGGTGTTTTCCTTTTTGTTCACAGATCAGGGATGACTTGACTCCAGAAACCTCTCCTCCAGCTCTTCCTTTTGTTCTTTCTGGAACTCCTCTTGTTCTTATGTTGCAGCTTCTAGATCTGCCCTCTAGGTCTCTTATTTGTCGCTCAAACTTTCTATTCCTTTTTCTTTTGCCCTAGGTTGTAGTGATCATTTCTGTGGTTAATTTCTAAGTTATTTCTAATTTGTATATTCAGATTTTAGCATCATTCCTTCTGTTTTCACTGCCTTCATGGATTTTATTTAAGAAACCTTGGTTGGTTTATTTTATTTTTTTCCCCAGAGGAGTTTAGTGAGATTTTTGCGTTCGAGTATTTTTGCCCTTCTCTCCTGCGTCCCACATTATTAAATCAGTGCCAGCTCTTCTGATTCTTCACCTCGGTGTCCCTCGTTAAAACAGCTGTTCCCTCTTCCGTGGCCAGGAGCTTTGTAACGTCTCTTCCTCTCTGTCTGGACGGGTTGATGCGGCAGGCAGAGCCAGCAGGAATGCATCATCTCCTGTGGGCCTGGCTGCTGGGTCTCCGGGCTGTCTTAGAGTTGTTGAGAAGGAGGGATTGTCCCTTCCCAGTGAGCCTGAAGCGGGTGAATCAGCAGGCTGGAACTACAGAAAATGCCCAAACTGTTCTTCAGAGTTTTATCCTAGAAAGTTTGCCGAGTTTTGTAGAGCTCTAAATAAACATTTTATCTGATGTCATTGTCCACACCAGAAGAAACGAGCACTTACACCGCCAAAAGCGTTGACACAGACATGTCTTAACCCTGACCACATTTATCACAAGTAATCATTTTTTAAAATTATGCAGCTATTTTAGAAATCATTGCCTGTTACGGGAAACTAAAAGTACGTATTAATTTAAATGCAAAAATATGTGTGGACAATAAAAGAATGTGAGTTGGGAGACCAGTTAAGAGGAGTAGCTGTAATTGGTGATGTTATAAGTTGAAGAAAAGTTGAGATTTCCGAATTTTGATGGCTTCAGTTTTCTCAATAAAAGGAGAAGGCAAGGTCTTGGAGTGATTGGTCAGGATGGTATTGCCAGAGGTTTAAGAACACTGGGACAGCTTCAGATCTGCTGTTTCAGGGGGAGCATGAGGAATTTGGTGGGTAACTGTCTGAACGGTGAGCAACAGTAGGATTCCTAGGGAACATCAGATAGACAGATTTTGAGTGGGATCGACCAGGTTCATTTTATGACTTTTTTTTTAGCCTTTGTTTGATGTAACTCGGGAGAACAGATGGACAAAAGATCGAACCCACAGTTTTTATGTTTCACAAATGGCTATCTGGTTTTGTAATCTTCTCTCAAATTTAATAATTCTCTGGTTTTCTCAGTCTATAGATAGTTGTAGGTAATACTGTGTATAACCTCAGAACTAAATGCTCCAGTTAAGTATGATAAAAAATGTATGATGAAAAAGATGAACTTGATTCTTTTTCTACTATGCTTTTTTGATAAAGGTATGACCCAGTTTTATTTTTAGTTCTTGTGTGTGTGTGTGCCAAGTTTCTTCAACTGTATCTGACTCTTTGCGACGCTATGGACCATAGCTCACCAGGCTCCTCTGTCCATGGGATTCTCCAGACAAGAATAGTGGAGTGGATTGCCATGTCCTCCTCCAGGGATCCAGAGATCAAACTCACATCTCTTAGGTCTCCTGCATTAGTTCTTGTTACCATTTTCTAATACTCCTAGAGCTTTTTAGGTCTGTGTTGAAAATGGTGAATTATTCTAAAGATTATTTCTCCTGTAAAATTACGATTTTTATTGGTTTGTCAGCAAATTTTAGAGAACAGTAGTTTGTAACTACAGTGTTAGCAAGTTCTCCTGGATGCTCTTTCACACTTTGTTGCATTTGTTTTGCAGTTTTCTGAATTTCCAGATCCCATGTGGGGTTCAGATTATGTACAGCTGTCCAGGACGCCGCCTTCCTCGGAGCAGAAGTGCAGCACCGTGTCCTGGGAGGAGCTGAAGTCCATGGATTTACCCTCCTTCGAGCCTGCCTTCTTAGTCCTCTGTCGAGTCCTTCTGAACGTCATTCACGAATGTCTCAAGTTAAGGCTGGAACAGAGACCCGCTGGAGAGCCATCCCTCTTGAGTATTAAGCAGGTTTGTCTCAAAGACTTTCAAAAAATGCCGAGTTCTTACTATATTTTTTTCTATAGACTCGAATTTTTCTTTTTAGGATTTTCCCCCTAATTGTTGCAAATAGTGAAAGTTAGTGTATGTTAGTGTTTCTAAGCTGCTCTCTGTTGGGTCATTTAAAATGTTCTTTTTCCATGCAGTCTTTAAAAATGAGGTGGTGGTTCCACCCTTTCTGTCTTCCACTTCCTCATTCTAAAAGGAGTGTACATGCTGATATGACCCTCTGTAGCCTGTTACCATCAGTCTTTGAAGACTGGAAACTTAAAATTCATTCATAAGAGAGAGTTTAAATTCTTTAATTTATCTTTTTGTTCTTTTTTAAGCTTTGTGTAGACAGGTGAATGTCTGCAGTATGCAGGGAGGGGGTGTGTTTGGACATTTTGTCTGCTTAGGCATTTGTACGGTTTAAGCAATAATGACAGCTTCTGCTTTCTCAGTTACTATTAATGTAGGTGAGATTTTCAGAATTTGCTACTCCACAGGTGATAGAGGAATGGCTGGAAGCAGTCGAATCTACCAGACTGAGCGGGTATATTTATGCCTTATGATGTTCCCGTATTGACATTCACTATATGAAATAACCACATTGGGTTTTGATTTCTTGTGTGTGTGGCCTGCGGTTGTCCATCCCCAGGGAGTTAGGTCTGGGAGCTCGTTGGCCCTGAATGTCAGACGGGCAGCGGGGACGAGTGCCGATTGAAGGACAGGCAGGGCGGGACGTAGAGAACAGGCCCTGGCGTGGTTTGTTCTGTGGCGTGGAGCCCGGTGACTGATGGGCCTGGAGGGCCAGCCCTGCACCTCGCCGCCTCTCTCCCCGTCCAGCCCTGGCCCGAGCTGTGTCCACCTTTGCGCTTCTTCTTTCTCACCGTCTTGGTTCTGGTCACTGACTGTGGTCCACGTGGGCTGTACTTTTCACTTGTCCTCCGTATCTCAGCAGTTATTTAGTAGAAGGTGTTGGTAAAGTACCTTATCTCCCCTCCCCACAGAACAAATACATACTTTGGGAACATAACCAGGTGAAACAAGGTGGGGTTCACCTTTAATCAGTGGGGCTGTTGTGAGGAGTAAGCAGTCATTTATGTTAAAACATCTTGGAAAGTGAAACCCAGTACTTGGTTTGATGTAGCTTTGTTGTTGTTACTTAGGTGCGAAGTCGTGTCAGATCTTTGCCGCCCCAGGACTGTACCCGCCAGGCTCTCTGTCCCTGGGATTTCCCAGGCGAGAATACTGGAGTGGGTTGCCCTTTCCTCCTCCAGGGGACCTTCCCAATCCGTGGATCAAACCCGTGTCTCCTGCATTGGCAGGCAGGTTCTGTACTGCTGAACCACCTGGGAAGCCCAGTGTAGCATCATTCGAGTGAAAATAAAATAGAAATTTTGACTTTCATGTATTCAGATTGAGTTGTAAGCACCTAAGTGACATCCACAACAGAAATTTATGTTAACACTTTTTAATAGATTTAATTCAGCCATTGCGCTCTTATTGTAATAATTTTAAAAACATTTGGAGGGGCATCTTGTTATAAAGCAGTCCATGTTTATTTTAGAAAATCTGCAAAGTACAGAAAATTTGAAAAGTACAGACAAAAATGAAAGCTATCCTCTTATTCTGCTATTCAGAGATAACTGCTATAACATTTTGGTATATTTCTCTCCATTTGTTTTTCTATATGTACATACTTTCTACACATGTAATAATTCTAAAAAGAAAAGAATATGAGTTTTCACCCTTAAACGTTTTTCAGAAATAAGATTTTAAATGACTGCATGGCTGCTTTTCGGTGTCAGTACATCATAATTTATCTATTCTTCATTGTTTTGAATATTATTGTGATAAATATATTTGTGTATCAGTTTTAGCCAGGATCTCTGATTACTGTTTGAGTATAAAATGTAAAAATTAAGTAGTGAGTCACATCTTTGGATTCTAGTAAGTTTGTACCAGTTTGCTTTCCCTGTAGCATCGCTGTGGTTCCTTTTGTGTCTTGTTAATGTATCTTAAGGCTAATGTAACTGTGATCTAGTCCCACAGCCGCTGCTGGTTAGAATTTGAGGGAACCTGACCGGTGCGTTATTCATGGAAGGACTGTGCAGGTCCTCTCATTCCGTCTCCCCTCCGTTCTCACAGCGCCTCCCGGGGCCTGCACACGGCCAGTTTTACTCATCCTTTTGTTTTCTCTCCTACTTTCCCCCCTGACTTCTATTTAATGCCATCAGATTTATCTTAGGGTTTTTTGTGTGTGTGTGTGTGATGATTGAGTTTTTTTGATGGTAAAAGCCACAAATCACAATAGGTAGAGTATGCTAAATTATTACAAAGGCCCCCAGGCACTGTGGTATGTGAGTACATTTGAATCTTTATTAACATTTTTGTTGCTGTTGTTGTTGCTGTTAAAAAGGAGCAGTCTCATGAGGAAATTTTTTGTCTTCTATTCCTTGTCTTATAATGTGAGCNTCCTGTCCTGACTGTCTCCTCTCCTCATCTTTCCATTGAAGGCGTGCTTTCAGGTGTTAGCTGACAGTCTTCACCTCGAGCGGGAACTCCTCCAGTGGTTCCGATCGTAGCTGCAGGGTCTCACACTTAGTGAGGTACCGCTGGTCTGTCCTCAGGTTTCCCCGGTTTAGGCTGAAAGCTGCACAAGCCCGGGCCTGTGACTGGAGTTCTTCTGTCTTCCATAGTGTTTGGTGGAGTGTTAGTATGTAGTAAATCTGTGTTAGCTCCGCTCGAGCGGGTGCACAGGTGGGTACGTGATGTGGCGGGCGGATGAAACCGTGTAGAGAGCAGCGAGGCTTGTGGAGCAGTCACCCTTGACATCTCCCTGTATCCTGCCTCGGGATGGCTGCAGCACCTCCAGACACACCACCCTCACTTTCTAGGGTGGAAGAGAAGAGAAGAGAAGGGTCAGAGGGACAATCTCCCTGTCAGCTAAGTCCAGAACTTCAAAAGCTCACCTGGAAGCCCCAGCCAGCAGAAGTTCCCTACATCCTCCTAACGAGACCTGCTGTGTGGCCTCCTCGCTCTAGGGGAGGCTGGGCCTCAAAGATTTAGCTCTTCAGCCTCTAGCAGAAGGAGAAAAGAAAGGGTGTGGCTGGGGAGGACTTATTACATCTGGCATCTTTCGAGAAATAATTTTGACTCTAAAGTGACTTTTTTTTATTGTTTGGGAGAATACAGAAAATGTATGAAATGTGGCTATGTTTTGAAATACTGTATATATCTCTTATGTCACAAAAGCCTGTCATTGAATAGTTATGATTAGAAAAACAGCAAGCAAATTACTTTTTCTCTCTGTGGGTAGTTAAACCAGAAGTTTAAGAAGACAAAAAGTACCTTGCTTTCCAAACTGTCTTTGATGGCCTCACAAAGGCACACGCCGCATCTTTTATCGGACGTTCACTAAGGCAGGAAGGGTGAGGATTAGGCAGGTGAGCTGTGCCATCCAGGTCATCCACCTGCAGCGCCCTCGTGTGCCTGGGCGAGGTTGACAGCCAAGGTTCAGGAAAGACCGAGACACTCAGCTGGTTAGAGGACCGTAGCAGTGCTGCGAGTGAGTTTTGACTCTGCTTCTAGTTCTCTGTGTGAGCCATCATGTCCCTTAGTTCATCGCCGTAATCCCACAGATGAAGGAATTATCAATGACTTTGTGTCCCAGAGTGTCCTAGATGAAGTAGGGCAGGGGCACAACTTGAGAACTGGTGGAACCCAGAGAAGACCAGTGTTTGGTCAGGATAGGTGGTCGCATCGGAACTGGTGGAACCCAGAGAAGGCCAGTGTTTGGTCAGGAGAGGTGGTCGCATCGTTTCCTGCGCTGTCCTGCCTCCTTGCCACGCGGAGGGCTGGTCCAGCGATGCATTAGAGCTGCGGCATCTCGGGCTGTGCCCGGGCTGCAGATAGCAGGCATGTGGCACGTGGGGACCGTCATGTTGTCTGCAGCGTGTCCTGTCCTGCGAGCCTGGAAGAAGGCCAGGCAGGGTCTAGTCCAGGGGCGCAGGCGCTAGTCCCTGGGTTACAGAGGCATAACGTCAGCTTAGGGAAGGGCACGGGCAGTCTTTGGATCCTTCGAAAGGAAGGAGGTGAAATTGGCAGGACTCAGGGATGGGTTGGGGATGGAGCGGGTATAGAGAGTGGCTGCTGGGTGTCCAGTTCGTGCGGCTGGATGAGTACTGGAGATGATGGGTCCAGTGAATTTTTAAAATTGAAGATACCTGAGACCATTTGAAAGCCTTTGGGATTGTTTTGTTAACAGAAAGAAATGGAAAAAAAAAAACAACAGAACAACTCATGTGTACATGAGAGGAAAGGGAAGGCTGAGAATGCAAGGTTCCTCGGGTTCCACAAGGAAATGGGTCTCAAAACACACGTGCTGGATTTAGCAGGGAGCCCAGTTCCTCTACTGTTAAAAAGGGAAGGATGGTAATTTAACAGTATGTACATTCATGTTATTTATCTCAGGACGATGAGAGCTTCTACGTATAATGACGAAAGAGCGGTGAGATCACCTGTGAGAATGGGTTGTGGTGGATTTTGGCTGTTTGAGGAAAATGCAGAAGTTTCGAACTTGTGTTTGTAGAGAGGAGGCGAATGAGTTGAGCAGAGGTGCAGGCATCACCAGGAACGTGTGCTCTGGGCTTGGCGGATGTGACTGTGTAGGAGAGCGGCCCCTCCCTGTGGTGTGGCTCCTGGAGGACAGTGGGCGTGGGGAAGGGCGCTGGGCTTGTGACAGGCACGTGAGATGAAGAGGCATTGCGGGCTGGCAGGGTGTAGGGAGGTGGCCGGGACTCGGGTGTGCCGACAGGAGTGCTGCGTGAGGAGGACAGGGAACCAGGGAAGAGAGGAGGGAGTCTGAAGAAGAGGAACCAGGGCTGGAGCTCCTGATGAAGTGAGGAGAGTAGGTCGTGGGGGAGCTGGGCAAGCAGACTGCAGGGAGGAGAGGAGGTTTTAGCATCAGCACGTTTGGCTGGGTTTTGAGCACTTGTGGTAAATGCCAGGATCAGAAGGGAAACTGTGTCAGAGAGGAGGAAAGTCGCTTGGAACCAGAGGCAGTCGGGGAATGGAACTGAATTGGTGGGGGGTCGGACAGGTGCGGCAGCTGTTAAGTCACACAGCTGGCGCTGGCTGAGCCTGGGAGGAGAGGAGACAGGCGCAGACTGGTGTGTGACGACTGCCTCGGGGCAGTGGAAAATCAGTAGATGATGGTGCAGAGACGGGGCGTCCAGGGCATACCTGATCACGGAAACCTTAAAGGGGCAGAGTGTTTCTTTTGTTTTTAAAGAAGACTATGTGAGGATGATGGTTTGAAAGTAGCGACAGGATACACAAAAATGTGACCGTTGGCAGCCCTTGCGGTATATTGTAAGGCAGCTGCCCCTTGAGAGGGCTCTCAGGGCAGCGTGGTTTCAGGGAAGCCAGGGAGATGAATCTGCCCTCCAGGAGTGGAAAGGGAGGTCCTGAGCCTGATGTGCACAAGACCTGTTTCGTTGGAATGAGATGGATGTAGACCTGTTAAGTCGCAGGTTCCGCTACACAGCCGTGTTCATAATTGACCCGTGACTGGAGATTCACGCCACATGCCTGGGTGGAGGAGGACCCAGAGACTCCAAAGATACAACAGAAGATAGTTTTCTTTAAGTGAAAAACTCCAGAGTTTTTGCCTACTGAAAGTTATTATTGGATCTCAGAAAACCCTCATTTCAGAGAACCCTAAGGTGTAGCCTGCGAAGGTCCTTGAGATCCAGGCCTGGAGAAAGGAGCCTGTCAAAACCTCCAGGCAGGGACAGGAAGCCGCCTTCAGGGGATGGGGAAGTTGGTGATCAGTCTTCAGCAGTGTCCTTTATTCTAACATGACTCACGGTGTTAGAAGCTACTAGAGTAAAGTCTTCAAGGCTCTGAGGGAGAGGATGTGTCGTTCAAACATTTCATACCCAGGCAAGGTATCTTTTCAGTAAAAGAATCCACAGACAGTGGTGTTTTATAAAATAACAATTGTGAACCTGTCTTGAGAAAAAGTACTTCATAGTAAAACCCTGCTAAGCAGCAGATAAAACAAGAATTTTAGTACTGAAGACGAACTGTGGTGGACATAAACCCCTCCTTAGAACAATCAAGTATTTTGGTTATAGGTCATAATTTATATGTCATAAACCTTGAAAAATTATGTCATGAAAATCTGGATGCTGGGAACATAATAGTGGGAAGAAGTGTGCTCATTGCCTCCTCTTAACCTGTCAGAAGCCATCTAAAGCTTAAGTAATTAAAGAAATAAACATCCCAAGCTCTTAAAGGAATATTATTCACAGTATATTAAACATGAAAATTTCTGTGTTATGATTTTGATTTTTTTTACTTCATTGTATCGTTTTGTACAGTGTGAATAATATGTTCAGTCGCTGAGGAGCTGAGTTATACAATTAAAGAAAAATCCTATTTAGACCTCAGTTAATAGTGACGGAGAATCTCGCTTCTCTCAGAGCTTCATGCCTCAGTGGCCCCTCTTCCTCTTGTTCAACTTGGAGTTCTCATGTTAACGGGGATGCAGGTTGTGAGTTGTTGAACCCCGTTCTCACATATCTCCTTTGCATTTTTGTATCTTAAGGTATATTTTGATTACATGAGAAGCTGGATCCAAATGCTACAGCAGTTACCTCAAGCATCTCATAGTTTAAAAAATCTGTTAGAAGAAGAATGGAATTTCACCAAAGAAATAACCCACTACATCCGGGGCGGAGAAGCGCAGGCTGGAAAACTTTTCTGGTAGGAATCCTTGTGTGGCTGCCCTGCTTTCTCACTCCTGGCTCGCTCATCGGCGCTGTGCTCCATGTGTGAGTGTCTCGTTACATGGAAACGAGCAGCGCTTATCCCTCTTGGGTGCCCCTCTCCTGAGCTCTGTCATCCTTAGAGCATCCTTAGAACCTCCCCGGCTCTCTGCCGGGGAGACTTGCCCCCGGGACGCGTGGCGGTGTCCGGAAGCGGTTCTGATTTACCCACTGGGAGGGGCGAGTGGTGCCCCTTGAGTGGAGGCCAAGGACGCTGGTAAACATCCTGCGAAGAAAACTATCCACCCAGCGTGTCCGTTTTGAAGTTGAGCAATCCTGCCATGGGGTGCACCCTCTTGATTATATAAAAGGAGGAGGATCTAAGGCCTCTTGACGAGTGGAGTAGACCCGTAAGTATTGGTCTTTGTCTCAGACTGGGTAGGCACTTCTCAAGCCTCACAAGTAGATATTTTCACCGACACTGTTTTGGGAATGTTATGCTAATCACAGAATCTCAAAACTGGGTGTGTATGTATGGTGAGGGAATCGAAATGTAAACGAAGGAAAAGCATGAAGCAGGGCCAGCGCTCCCTGGGCTGTCTGTTCCAGGACACGAATGTATCTTCTCAAGCGCAGGCACCTGAGTGTTGAGAGCGGGGTGTGAGGTATGTGGTCCTTGCCGGGGGCCGCTCCCCTGCTGAGGGACTAGGGGCCAGGCCTCCCCCCTGGTTCTAAACCCCGCGGCCTCCACGCGGTGCCGCCTTCTCTCGCCTGCCATGTCGGCCGTTTCGTTCCTCCGTTTCTTTTCAGGAGCTCTTTTATACCCAGCTCACGTTTCCTTCCCCCTCGCGCTGTGTGTGCCCTGCAGGACCTCGGCGGTTACAGGTCTCCTCTCCCTGCAGAAAGTCACTGTCCTCACCCTGCGGGTCTGTGTTCGGTGCCCGGCATCTCAGAACGTTGTGTCAACTCTTCTGCCCTGACCACCCAGTCTTCATGTCTTCCTGCATCTCTGAGTGAACAGGGAGCTTGCTCTTGTCTCAGCACTCAGCCGGCTTCAGGCCAGGGCTCCCAGTCTGCCCTGTTTTCCTGTTCTGGTTGGTTTCCACGGTCAGCCTCATAGAAACGTGTATTCACTGCCATCTTCAACGTCTGTCGCCCCTCCTGATTCTCCATTGTTCTCTTTCACCTGGAATTTCTTCTCTTTGCATCTTCCCTTCTCAGTCTGTCAAGCTTGGCTGAGAAAAAAGATGCTTGAAAAGGTTACTGTTTCATTTCACCACCAATTCTTGTTGTTTAATTTCTCTGTACCATCATTATCTACCTGTCAGTGTTTGTTTTTATCTTTGGCTCGTCCTTCAGATTCCTTTCATGCAGTCTGTGGCCTTCATCTGCACGCCCGTGTTCTGAGACCCTCCGGAGCCTCGACGCTGCCCATGCTGAGGGGCCGCCCGCCCGCACTGTCGGTTCTGGGTGTTGGTGGTGTTGCTGCAGCGTTCCCCCAGGTTCAGCCATCTTGGCGTTAACCCTGACCTCATTCTTTCTCTCGCTCGCCATCTCTAATTCCCCGTGGCTGTCCCTCTGGGATACAACCAGCGTCTCACCTCCACTCACCACTGCCCATTTTCCATCTTCCCAGCCAGTTATTTTTCCTTGTAGTTTGCTATAGCAGCTCTCTCAGGAGTCTGCTTCTGCCCGTCACCCTCTAAGGTTTATTCTCAGTGATCCTATTAAACTGTGCATCAGATCATTTTTTGTTACTGTTGTTCAGTTGCTAAGTCGTGTCTGACTCTTTGTGACCCCGTGGACTGCAGCACACCAGGCTTCCCTGCCCTTTACTATCTCCTGGAGCCTGCTCAAACTCAGGCCCATTGAGTCGGTGATGCCATCCAACCATCTCATCCTCTTTCGTCCCCTTCTCCACCTGCCCTCAATCTTCCCAGCATCAGGGTCTTTTCCAATGAGTCTGCCCTTCATATCAGGTGGCCAGAGTGTTGGAGCTTCAGCTTCAGGATTGATTTCCTTTAGGGTTGACTGATGTGATCTCCTTGCAGACCATTCTCACCTCTGTTTGAAATACGCCAGTGGTTCTCCTTACTCAGGGAGAAGTGGGAGCCCCTGAACAGTGCCCGGGGGGCCGGGCGCAGTCTGACTTTTCGGGGGCTCTGTGTCCTCCTTTCCTGGCACTCCTGGTCCCCTGCAGCCGCGGCGGCTTCCTGCCTGCTCTCCGTGGGCCCGGCCTGCTCCTGCCTCAGGCTCTTCGCGCTTGCTCATCCCTGTGTGCGGACTGCTCTGCACCCAGTTATCTCTGCGACTTCCTTTCCCACTTCCTGTAGGTCTTTGGCCAGATGTTATCTTCTCCACATTTAGAGTTGAAACTCCTACCTGCAAGAGCATCTTAGTGTTCTTCCGTTATTTTTCCTCTCCAGAGCACTTATCAATAGTTGAAGTACTCTATATTTTTATTTTTTATATGATTTATTGCTTCTTTTTCCCCTCCATTTACTGAAGAAATTTTATCTCTTTCGTTCACTGCTCGTTACTCCGGAACAGATACTGATTGGTTGTTGAATAATTTATCCTGAATATCCTTGTACACTACTGCTCTTTATAGGCATGTTTTTAATCAGGCCGTTTCCCCACTTGGTCACTGTCACAGCCCACCCTCTGCCGGCCAGGGGATGATCACACGGTCGCATCACGTCCAAGTCCCCCCCCCCCCCCCCCCCCCCCCGGCGCGGCTGGGCCACTGGTCCTGGCCTCACTCCCCCTGCTCCTCTGCTCTTCCCAGCTCGGCAGTTTCTCTTCAGCAGCGTGCCTCCTGCTTAACGCATCCTCATGCCCTGCGATCATCCTTCTTGTTCTTCCTCGACTTGCCTCCCCCTCCCCCCTCCTCCGTGCTCCTCCTGACAGAACCCCTCTTCCCCCTGCGGTTCTGGCCCCTCACTTCTGCACTGCCTGCAGGGCCCGTTGAACCCACACCCTCAGACAGCGCCCCAGTGGTGACCTTCTGCCTCTTCTGATGTTGGTTCTGGACTGAACCTGCTCTGCCTCACTAGGTTATAAGCTCCTTTCTTCATAGAAGTCAGTAAGCTGCTGTTGAATTTTCACTGAACTCATTTAGATTTATTGTATACCTTTGGGTTTGCATTTTAACCCTAGTATTTAGACTGTATACTTGATGAGAAGCATCAGTGATTACAGTAGTTCATGTTCAATGACTGAAAATTGTGATGGAAATTTTTAAAAGCAATTGCATTTAAGGAATTCAATTTGTTTCTTATGCTTTCAATTAGTTTATTGAGCCTTTAAAAATATTTTGTCATAGATATATATTTGAGCCCATTTTATACCTTTTTGAAGATTTAAGATGAAAGTAATGTGATAATTACACAGCTACTGTGAATGCAATTTAAGATTTTAAGGTTTATAATGAAAAGCTGGTAGTGGAACAAAGGTGGATGCATTCCACAGTCGAGATTTCTGCCTCTTCTTCACATTAACCATGATGTTAAATTAAAAGAGAAGTCTCGCCGTCATCGATTTTCCGGCTCCTGACACGACAGCTCACTCTCTCAGGCTCTCGTTCCTGAGAGGCTCTGCGTGGGGGCAGCTTTCTTCCCCGGCTCATGTCTGTTGTTTCTGTTCCTCAGTGATATTGCAGGAATGCTGCTGAAATCGACAGGAGGCTTTCTAGAGTCTGGCTTACAGGAGAGCTGTGCAGAATTCTGGACCAGTGCCGACGACAGCAGTGCTTCAGATGAAATAAGGTTGAAGTTGCATTTCCTTTCCTCTCCCATTTCTGATTTCATGTAGTTTTACTCTTGGCAGTGAACCTGAAATGTGCCTTGTTGAAGCCAAGTCACGTTGGACTTGAAGAACGTGGGTTGTAGATCTAAAGGGATTTATGCATGACTGCTGTATTGTCTTTTCGTGAGATCTCTTAGTTATGGTTTTATGTGAAATTGTCTTTGAAGGTGACTGTTGTTTAATCTAATCCTTAGAGACTATGTAGTTTAAGTCGACTAAGAACTAGTATGGTAGAATTCATTCACATGTTCCGGACTGTCTTTAGTTAACTAGTTCCTGTCCGTTAAAGCCTCTGTAGTAGTCCGTGAATACGTTAATTGACATTTGGTGCATTTTTGTTGTTTGTATACTTGCCTCACCCCTTCTGTTGAACGTTCAGCTTGAGTACATGAACCTGTGTCTGGCTCTCCTACTGTGTTTTCTCCCGTTGTGTGCAGACAGGATTGAGGGTGAACCGTGGTAAAGTGCTGTTTTTGCGGCTTACGTGTCACTCATAGAGCTATTTTGTGGCCAATTATCAACAGTACTCTGTGAGTCAATATTAGGAAGTGCTAAGGTGGAACTAACTAACTTCTCTAGAGGTGTTTTCTCTCACCTTCCAGAATTTGATAGAAAACACATTTTGGGGTTTCAGAACACGGGAATGTCTTTATACCAGGATTAAAGAAAGAAGTTACTACATAGGCTCTCACCTGGGAAAATACTGAATTATTGAGAAATGGAATTAATCAGTTCATAAAAGGTCTTGCAGCTTTGAGCGCTGACATGGTAGATACAGAATAAGTGAGTTCAGTCGTTGGGATGGTGAACTAGAGAATGGCTCTTACAGTGCTCTGATTGTTTCCTGGGGGTGGATCGAGAAAGGGGGTTCACACGCAGTGATGTGCATGGCTGACTGTCCCAGCTCCAGAGCACCCACATGGGTCGTGCACACCCCCAAGTCACAGCTCAGTGATGTCCTGTTGGTGGGTTGAAAACCGCTATGATGGGTGTATCCTCACCGAGAAAATCCGCAAACACGACACAAGACAATAATTTAGGGGGAGCTGGTGTTAAACATTTCCTGGCTCACTGCTCCTTTTTAGTTAGATCATGAGCAGAGAGTCAAGAACCTAATTCCTACTCCAAGAATTATCCTAATGTTGTTGTTCAGTCGCTAAGTCATGTCCAACTCTTGTGACCCCATGGACTGCAGCTCACTAGGCTTCCTTGTCCTTCATTATCTCCCAGAGTTTGCGCAAATTCATGTCCATTGAGTCGATGATGCCATCCAACCATCTCATCCTCTGTCATCGCCTTCTCCTCCTCTCAGTCTTTCTCAGCATCAGGGTCTTTTCCAATGAGTCGGCTCTCAGTTGCATCAGATGGCAAAAGTATTTTATGTATCCTAGTGAAATCCTAATGAAATGCCAACAAAGGTCCATCGAGTCAAAGCTATGGTTTTTCCAGTGGTCAGTATGGATGTGAGAGTTGGACTATAAAGAAAGCTGAGCACCAAAGAATTGATGCTTTTGAACTGTGGTGTTGGAGAAGACTCTTGAGTGTCCCTTGGACTGCAAGGAGATCCAACCAGTCAATCTTAAAGGAAATCAGTCCTAAATATTCATTGGAAGGATGCTTTTGAACTGTGGTGTTGGAGAAGACTCTTGAGAGTCCCCTGGACTGCAAGGAGATCCAACCAGTCAATCTTAAAGGAAATCAGTCCTGAATATTCATTCCTGATGCTGAAGCTGAAACTCCAATCCTTTGACCACCTGCTGTGAAGAGCTACTTATTGGAAAAGACCCTGATGCTAGGAAAGATTGAAGGCAGGAGAAGGGGACAACAGAGGATGAAATGGTTGTATGGCAACACCAACTCGATGGACATGAGTTTGAGCAAGCCCTGGGAGTTGGTGGTGGACAGGAAAGCTTGGCGTGCTGCAGTCCATGGGGTCGCAAAGAGTTGGATACGACTGAGTGACTGAACTGAACTGAATGTAGTTTTTAGGAAAGTGAGCGCACTGTCATTTGAACGTTGTTAAGTATGCCGTACTTATATAACCAACATTTGCAAGTGCTTTCTAGAAAGCTGTGGGGAGCAAGCTTCAGCATATTTCGAGTGCATTCTTAATCATTGCTTGTTTCTAAAACCTCCGGGCTTTATTAATGAGAGTTGGAATTTGCTCTCTCTTTACTGTTGTGTGTTTCTTGGCATCCCCTCGTGAATTCTAACTGGGTTTCTGTCCACCTGCCAGGAGGTCAGTTATAGAAGTCAGCCGAGCACTGAAGGAGCTCTTCCACGAGGCCAGGGAACGAGCCTCCAAGGCGCTGGGGTTTGCCAAGATGCTGAGAAAGGTGCGTTCACAGTTTTGAACAGCTGTTATTTTTTTTCTTTTATCTTGTTTTTTAAAATTAATTAATTTTTTAATTGAAGGGTAATGTCTTTACAGAATTTTGTTGTTTTCCATCAAACTCTGTTTATTTTTTAAAAAGCTAACCCTAAAGAAGTTTCTCTGTAACTGTGACCCTAGGACCTGGAAATAGCCGCAGAGTTCATACTTTCGGCCCCAGTCAGAGACCTTCTGGACGCCCTGAAATCAAAGCAGTACGCTAAGGTGCGCACTTAAGGTGGTAGAACTATTTTACCTCTCTTACTCTAAACAGAAATTTTTCTTAGAAGTGTAGGTGGTAAACGTTTTAGGCTTTGCAGTCGATATATGGACCCCAATTTTAAGACTGCCCCATAAGTTCCCAATGCTAGGATTAGAAAAGCAAAGTTCTTCATGCTTACTAACTTGTTTTAAGGATGCAGATGAAAAACCCGAAACATGCACAGTAACATTTCTGTGATAGACGGTGTTCTTTAATTCAGGATTTTGGGTTGTTTCTCTTCCAGGTACAAATTCCTGGCTTAGAAACCTTGCAGGTGTTTGTTCCAGACGCTCTTGCTGGGGAGAAGAGCATTATTTTGCAGTTACTCAATGCAGCTGCAGGGAAGGACTGCTCCAAAGATTCCGATGAGGCACTAATTGACGACTATCTGCTTCTGACCAAACATGGTGACCGCGCTGCGGACTCAGAGGACAGCTGGGCTGCGTGGGAGGCACCGCCTGTCAGGATCGTGCCTCCGGGGGAGACGGTTGACACCCTGAGAAGCAGGGGCTCTTCCCAACCCAGGTCTCCCGCATTGCAGGCAGATTCTTTACCCCTGACCCACTGGGGAAGCCCCAGAAACACGTATTGCTTAGACTTTGATGTTTGATGATTTTGTTTTGTTACTGTACTAAAATATTCTGGGAAGTTCTTTAGTTGTACTGAAGTATTTGAAATGTTTTATATCTTTCCTCACTTCAGCCAAGTACGTAAGTTAGGTGCACCCTCCCGTGACCTGGAAGAACTTGTCTCCCTCGTTTAGTTTGTAGCTGCAGACACCTCAGCTCTCCAAGTGTTGGTTTAGCGGCGAATCACTCTAAACAAGACAAACTTTTTACCGTTTTACCGGCTGCTTGACTCCTTTCTTCTGTGTGGTCAGGTTGTCACCTGCCTACCTGGCAGTGATCCCGTGACGGTCTGTGTGCCTCAGTAACTAAAACCGTAGGAAGCCTCTCACGCCGCTGTGTTCAGAGAGCGTTGCACCGATACAGACGCTCCCGCGTGTAAGATAGACAGCCCTCGGGGAGCTGCAGTGTCGCCCCGGGAGCTCGGCTCGCTGCTGCGTGATGGCCTCGAGGGTGGGCTGGGGGCGTGGGGGTCCAGGCGGGAGGGCATGCGTGTGTACATGCGGCTGCTTCACACGGTGGAGCCGCAGAAGCTCGCCGTACAGCATTGTTCAGGAATTCTCCTCCAGTTAACACACACACGCAGACTGTGCCCAGCTCCGGGATGGCAGTGGGCGTGCGCCTGCACCCCGGACTCAGCGGACACCCCGGCCGACCGCCCCCCAGCACGAGTCTCAGGGACTGGCGCTCCGTCCACTCAGGTGTTTAAACCAGGACGTGGCCTCCGCCCTCCTCCACTTAAATGACGCCCCGGCCCCGAAGCCTTTCCAGTCGATGAGCTTTCCTCTGCGTCCCGAGAGCCGCTCCCGGGGTCGGGCCTGATCACCTCTCCTGCGCTGTTGCAGGGCCCCACTTGTAGCTTCCCTGCTTCAGGCCTCACGTTTCCTCCCGCTCATGCGGTGCTCGTTTGGTACTTCAGACCGATCCTTACCGTTCACACATCTCATCACAGGTCTGCTCAGAATACTGCAGTGACCGTCACTTCACACAAGTAATGCAGGCTTGGTTTCTGCTTTATACAAGGCCCCTCATCTCATCCCGTTCTTACCCTGGGTTTTCCACCTTCACACGCTGCTCTAGTGCGTGCACGCTCGTGCGCACACACACACACACACACACACACACGTGCACACTCAGTCTCTGCTCCAGGAGGATTGTCTTGGAGTTCTAGCGAGCTTTAGACGCCGCCTGCCCACGCCGTCCCATGGGATTCCTCCCCGCTGCTGGGGAGTGTAGTCATCAGTGCCCCCTGCCTTGCTCCAGGGGAACAGCTTAGTCCAGAGATGTGCTTTCTCGTCAGGCTCTTGCTGGCCAGAGGGCCCTGGGGTGGGTGGTGTTGGAGCCTGGGGGTTGGACTGGAGTGGACGGCTGGCGGGATCTGTGTGTAAGCCCTGGGCTCACTTCTCCCCCCAGGTGGACAATTTCTTGCTCGTGGTCATGCACTCCGCACAGCTCGTAATCCACAGGAAAGCTTTCCAGCAGTCCATCGAGGGGCTCATGACTCTACGCCAGGAGCAGACTTCCAGTCAGCCCGTCATCGCCAAAGCCTTGCAGCAGCTGAAGGTATTTCACCGTCAACTGTATCTAAGCTCTAATTTATTTATATCTGGTGCAATGCCAGGGACGTATTGGTGTGTTATAACCTAAGTACTCCAGGGACTCGAGCTCTTAAAATTGTCATCTCCATTCTCTGTCTCTCCCCACTTTCCCGTGTCTAAATTAAAAATTTTCCTGGATCTTCTTTGGAACGGTGGAACGTAAGAATTGGAAAGGGTGAAAATTTGAGTAGTTACGTGACTTCTTAATGGTCACATGTTTGGTTAGTATTGGACCTTAGGTCTCTTCCTTCCTAACCCAGTTTATTTCCCCTTTAGCAGTTACCAATATTTACTAGAGGTACTGTCAGCCAAAAATGTGTAATTAAAAAAAAGATTTATTCTTTCACTTAATAGATGATTCAATCAAATTGGTTATAATAGAGAAAACCACTTGTGGATTGTGGACAGGCAGACAGGCTGACAGGCTTTCAGAGTTCATGACAAGTGAGAGCCTTGCCTTTTCTTGCCCTTATTTCTTGTTTTCCCCACTTTTTATTCTGTCCTCCATTCATCACTGCCCCACAAGCCATCAGTTTTCTCAGGCACATCACAGCTTTACTTCCTGAAGAAGGACTTCTTGAAATTACAAGTAGTTTGATAAATGCTTATTTTTGTTCTGCCAATTTGATTTGTCTTATTTAGCTGTAAACATTCTCCCTTATAGATTGTGAAGTAAAGGTCGCTCAGTCATGTCTGACTCTTTGCAACCCTATGGACTGTACAGTCCATGGAATTCTCCAGGCCAGAATACTGGAGTAGGTAGCCGTTCCTTCTCCAGGGGATCTTCTCAATCCAGGGATCGAACCCAGGTCTCCCACATTGCAGGCGGATTCTTTACCTACTGAGCTACCAGGGAAGCCCCCTTTATAGATTGTCACCCCATTCTAATACCAGGGCAGGGGACTTTTGTTTTTTCTTTTAGTTTGAGTTAATGAATTCTGGAGAGTACAAAATTTTATACAATGTTGATTATTCTTGAGCTCGAAAAGTCTGTAGCCTTAAGGATCTGAATTGTCACACTTCACACAGAGGAGGGGAGACCAGGTCCTCCTAGTAGCAGCTTGCCGTGGAGGCGCTTCAGCTGGGGAGGGTTTCTGAAGGTGTGGATTGGGAAGAGACCAGTGAGAAAAACACTGGGGCGTGGTGTCCATGGATCGGGGTCATAGGATACTCACAGGGCATCAGTCTGGTTTGGTTGGATCCTGGTATATATAGTGGGAAGAAGTAGGGGATGCGGCTGGTAAAAAATCAGATTGGCAAAAATCAGACTGTTGGGGGATTCTGAATTTCACATTCTAAGTCCCAGAGAGTCATCAAAGATTTTGGAAGAATAGTTTGGAATACAGCATAAGGGAATCGCTTGAAAAGTGAAAGTGAAAGTTGCTTAGTCGTGTCCGACTCTTTGTGACCCCATGGACTATACAGTCCACGGAGTTCTCCAGGCTAGAATACTGGAGTGGGCAGCCTTTCCCTTCTCCACGGGATCTTCCCAACCCAAGATCAAACCCAGGTCTCCAGTATTGCAGGCGGATTCTTTACCAGCTGAGCTACCAGGGAAGCCCAAGAATACTGGAGTAGGTAGCCTACCCCTTCTCCAATGGATCTTCCTGACCCAGGAATTGACCCAGGGTCTCCTGTATTGCAGGTGGATTCTTTACCAGCTGAGCTACCAGGGAAGCCCTCTAAAAGTTTGGCCTGCTTTAATTTAAGGTTCCAGTTCTCACATAATCCAGTGAATACGTCCCATTTGCTAGCTAACGAGCAATAAGGTGAATTGTCCCATTTGGGAATAAAAACTTCATCATGCTTTTTTTTTCTTAAAGAGTAGCATTTTGTCTCACAAATCCTGCTCATAGCACCAATTAACGTTTTGCCGAAAGCTTTCACTTGCATCTCAAGTTTGAAGGATTTGTTAACAAAATAAGCTGCTCATTATATACAAATAAATAATACAGATATTCACTAGAGAGTTATCTAGCTTACTTTCAATATGCTCACATTAAAAGAAAAGAGAAAGAGCAGAGAGTACATCACCAAATTGGGTTTTGACCGACATCCAGACTTAAACAGCGCTGGGCATTCCCGTGTCACAGCACATCCGGAGCCCCCGTTGGGAAAGGGGTAATGCGCTTGTGTGTGTTTAAGGTGAATGGAAAGGGACCCAAATGTGGGGCTATTGGGTCAGTCAGTAATTGTTGGGGAACTGTCCTGTGGCTCAGATGGTAAAGAATCCACCTGCAATGCGGGAGACCTGGGTTCAGTCCCTGGGTTAGAAAGATCCTCTGGAGGAGGACAGGGCAGCCGTCTCCAGTATTCTTTCCTGGAGGATCCCCATGGACAGAGGAGCCTGGCGGGCTATAGTACATGGGTCACAAGGAGTCAGACATGACTAAGCGACTAAGCACCACCCATACCTGTGGGTTGCAGGGTGTCTGCCAGCATCCCAGACCTCTGCACAGTGGATGCCAGGTTTCACAACCCTCCACCACCCCTCCCGTGTCCCCTGGGGTGGCAGAATTGGCCCCAGTGGAGAACCGCCCTGAGGGCGATGAGGACAGCGTGACTAGTAACACTGGAGGTCTCTTAGGAACGTGTCCTTAGTTCACTCTGCGGTGCTGAAACTCTGCTCACACTTGAGCAGGCACCGAGGGGAGACGCGACTCTGTTTGATGTGCAGAGATGTTGAGGCTGTAAGCATCTATTCAGAGCCCACCATGCAATCAGGCATGGTATTTCAAATGGGTTGTTTTCCTCTTGTATTTCATCAGGTTTTAAGAATACCTAATACAAATAACAATACCAAACTTTTTTTTTCTTCTTTGGTCATTCCTTTTGAACAACCAAAATAAATATAACTGGACTGTATTACAATGGTCAATGTCTGTGTGATGATGAAAGGAATCTTCCTCTAAAATGGGATAGGCGTTGTGTAATCTGTTCCGTTTTGGACTAATTATGGTTTGGGGTTCTTTAGAATGATGCCCTAGAGCTCTGCAACAGAATAAGTGATGCCATTGACCGAGTGGACCACATGTTCACTTCAGAATTTGATGCTGAAGTTGATGAATCTGAGTCTGCTACACTGCAGCAGTATTACCGAGAAGCCATGATCCAAGGGTACAATTTTGGGTTCGAGGTAAGTACAAAATAAGAGGCAAAGCGTGGTACGGTTTTGCCATAGCTTTGTAACTTACTGACAAGAAGCATCAGGAATCTTGCACGGCAATCTCATGATCCCATTATTGTAATCACAGCTTAGTCCAGAATGTCATCTTACATCCTTGCTGGATGTCAGAAATGTTGGATTACTTTTAAACTGTCAGATAGTTACCCGGTTTTAAAACTTAAACTTATGAGTAAGACCTTTGTAAAATTGCATTTGAAGACATTATTTTCTCTGTAACTCTTCACACTCTTTGTAGAACATGTAAAGCTCACTGGCTTTTGCTTTTCGTTTTTAAAAAAATGACATTTAAACAGAATTATAGTGTGTTAAGTATTTGTGTAATTATTTTCTGCTTAATTTTGATATGCATGAAATCTTTTTACAGTATCACAAAGAAGTTGTTCGTTTGATGTCTGGCGAGTTTAAGCAGAAGATAGGAGACAAGTATATAAGCTTTGCCCGGAAATGGATGAATTATGTCCTGACTAAGTGTGAGAGCGGCAGGGGGACGAGACCCAGGTAATGACCACGCAGGACGGCTCCTTCCTGAGCCCCGTGGGCTGGAGACTGTCCCTTCTTGTAGTTTATGGCAGGGTTCTGAACAGATGATGGAAAAGCATTTGGAACTCTTTGATGAGCAGTTTTTTTTCTTTCTTTTTGTAATCGTTCCAAAATGAGTAATCTTTAAGCAGTTCACATTCTTCCTGGCCAGGTGTTCTTAATTGCTAATCTTCTTTCCTCGTAAAGTTTATGCCCATTATTTAGTGTTAAATGGAAAAGAAATTGGTAGCCAGTTCCTTTACTAAGAAGCCATTCATCTTTCTCAAAACACCCTATAATCTTACTGAACACGAGGCAGATAGAGACACAAATGTGTTTTGTCCTAGATAGTAATTTTACAACCATATTGCTTTTCAGCATTGAGTAGACTAAAACGGCTGTGGTGCGTGCCTGGTTGTTTTGTGACTGTTGAACTTCTCTGTGTGACAGGTGGGCAACTCAAGGTTTTGACTTCCTGCAAGCCATTGAGCCTTCATTCATCTCTGCTCTGCCAGAAGACGACTTCCTGGTATGGAATATTCTAAAGTGTTTTTCCTTAAAAAGCAAGTTGATCATTCTCTATTTCTGATTGTGTAGCTTTTTTTATTAATATAGAAAGTAGTTCTTCAGTATATTCACCTAATCGTAATGCTAATGCTGAGACATTATTGTACTGTAATAGCAGAGAAGGACATTCCCTGCTCTTTTTATAACAATGTTCAGCTGACCAAGTCAGTATACAGTTGTTTATGCAGGCTGGCACCTGCAAAATAAGTGTCAGTTTTTGGTATTTTATAAAGTGCTGCTGCTTTTTAGCAGCCTAATGAAGAGCGAGGAATAGCTGTTTCAGTTCAGTGTGTATCTTTTTTTAATTTTGACTGCTGTGCATTACTGTGAGATCTCGGTTCCCTGAAAGTGAAGGTGTTAGTTACCCAGTCGTGTCCAACTCTTTGTGGCCCCATTGGCTGTAGTCCGCCAGGCTCCTCTGTCCATGGGCTTCTCCAGGCAAGAATACTGGAGTGGGTTGCCATGTCCTTCTCCAGGGGATCTTTCTGACCCAGGGGTCAAACCCAGGTGACCTGCATTGCAGGCAGATTCTTTACTGTTCCCTGCCCAGCGCTCAAACCCTTGCCCCGTGCAGTGGAAGTGCAGATTCTTAACCACTGGACCACCAGGAAAGTCCAGCATGGGGTGTGTTAGAGCATCATGCCAAATGTTAAATATTATCACAGTATTCCAATAAATTCTATCAGATCAAGAAGATGTTGAGATTTGTTCATTTCAGCCTCCAGTAGAATGATCACAGGAGCAGTCCTCAGCTTGTGCATGTCACTGCACTGTGGGGAGTTGAATGCCAGTTTGCTTTCACTTATAAAAATGGAACTGTATACTGTATTGTCTTAAATTATGTTCAGTGTGTGTTTAATTTGTGTTCATACCTGTTTTCTTTTAAACTAACTTTGAAAATATTTGCTTGAGGAAAGCATGTTTCTTTTTCTTTTTTTTTTTGGAAAGCATGTTTCTTTTAAATATGCTGAAAGCTTAATTTGTGCTCCTTATATGATTGAGAACGTGTATATTTTTTTCTCTTCCCCTTTCCCATTTCCTTCGGTTTCTAGAGTTTGCAAGCCCTGATGAACGAGTGCATTGGCCATGTGATAGGAAAGCCGCACAGCCCTATTACAGGTTTGTACCTTGGTAAGAAAGCAGGTAAAGCACCTCTCCTGGGACAAGCACATTGTCCAGAAACTGCAGCCATTTGAAGGGCTTCGGAGACTAAGAGCATTCAGGAAAATGACAGTGAAAGTTACAGGGATGAAGTGTGTACACATAGAACTCCACAGTAGCTTTTCTGAATTTAATTACAAAATTAAAATGGGAACCTAAGGTGGTCCATGCTTGCAGCAGTATTAAATAATTTTTTTTTTCCTTTTTTTACATCACCACTCATTCCGTTCTCCCCCTTAAACACTTTCCTTCTGGGGAGGAGAGACTTGGAGAAACACTTTATGTTAAGAAGCAAGGCCTTTCTTGCCGCAGGTGGTGAGTGTGATTGTTCTGCCCCTCCTTCCTCCCCTTTGGAAGGAGGATGAGTTTATTTTCTTCACAGCTTTCCCAGGTACCCACATTCTTCACCCATCTTCCCAGCTAGAAGATTCCTAATTGCCCCCACCTCCCCAACTCCTGTTTGGTTTTATTTTAAAAAAGAAAAAAAATTGTCATACTATAATGTACTCAAGTTACAGTTTTCAGTTATAGTTAATATATAGTTTTGCAGTATATGTTGAAGCTTTAAAACAAAATATCAGTAAAAGGCTATCTTACCCCATTCTTGAGATAGTAAACAAAAGCAAAACTATGTTTATGTGTAATAACCAGAAAAGAAAACTTAGACATTTTTAACAATTTCGATTACACAAAATAAAATAATTCATAAATGGTAAATTTATTAAGAACAGCATTATCTTAAAGGGTGCTTGCTAGCTACTCAAAGTTAGTAGACTAGGTTTTAATGCTTGATTTCTGTATCTTTAAAATTCACCCAATTTATACTGCTTTTTCTCATTTCTCTGAAATGAATTAGCATTTGTAAAACCATTTGAACATTTTATACAAAATGTTAAATATTCTCATCAAAATTTTCATTAAGCATATTATCATAATTACTTTGAGTTTCTGATTTCCTAAAATATTTCCATAAGAATACATGATCAGTAATTCAGTAAAAATTGTTGTTGTTCAGTCACTCAGACGCGTCCAACTCTTTGTGACCCCATGCTCTGCGGCATGCCAGGCTTCCCTGTCCTTCTCTGTCTCTCAGAGTTTGTTCAAAAGTAAAAATTACTTCTCTAAAATGTTTTTATCAGATTTATTGAAGTAAAAGTTACTTCTTCAAAATATTTTATTGCATGAAGAATCATTTTATTTATAGAACAAGGAAATTACAGTGCAGAAAAATCACGTAGAAAATGAGCGTGTAGAAGAACGTTGCAGGAAAGGAAGACTCAAAGTTAGTAGACTAGGTTTTAATGCTTGATTTCTGTATCTTTAAAATTCACCCAATTTATACTGCTTTTTCTCATTTCTCTGAAATGAATTAGCATTTGTAAAACCATTTGAACATTTTATACAAAATGTTAAATATTCTCATCAAAATTTTCATTAAGCATATTATCATAATTACTTTGAGTTTCTGATTTCCTAAAATATTTCCATAAGAATACATGATCAGTAATTCAGTAAAAATTGTTGTTGTTCAGTCACTCAGACGTGTCCAACTCTTTGTGACCCCATGCTCTGCGGCATGCCAGGCTTCCCTGTCCTTCACTGTCTCTCAGAGTTTGTTCAAAAGTAAAAATTACTTCTCTAAAATGTTTTTATCAGATTTATTGAAGTAAAAGTTACTTCTTCAAAATATTTTATTGCATGAAGAATCATTTTATTTATAGAACAAGGAAATTACAGTGCAGAAAAATCACGTAGAAAATGAGCGTGTAGAAGAACGTTGCAGGAAAGGAAGCCCCCTCCCTGCGGAGCGGGGGCCGTTGGCGTGAGTTGCTGCCGCGCCTCCCCCCGCGCCGCTGGCGGGACAGTCGGCTTGTGGCCCCCTGCCTGTGGGCACGCGGTGTTCTTCCTCCTCCCGGCCCCGGGATGGCCTGAGAGCCAGATTGCCCCAGGGGTCACAGGAGTCGAGTGACCTGGGCACACTCATCGAACATCTTTGAGCGTCCCCTTCTAGTGCTTAAAGTCGGATGCTGAAGAGGGCTCGGTGAACCATGGTGTTCTGCACACGGCAGGACTCACCCTGGGGCCGTGCACTCTGTCCTCACGAGGAATGAATGAATGTGAGAGCGCCACTGCCCTCGTCCCCTGCTTTCTGCTCCCCCTGACTCTGTCGCCATGAGACTATCTGATGCTCTGTCATCATCTGTTACAAGCAGATGGTAACAGTCTGGTGTAGAACCTTGTTTTTTTCTCTGTACTCATGTAAGTACACAGATGCATGCTCCCGCACCTTTCTTTACGGCTCATATCATCACACAAGCATATACACTGTTGCTTTCTTCCCCCTACCATTTACTGTGTGAAAATCAGATCACTTCGGATATGAATCTCGACGACTGTAGAAATCCCTGCGTGCCAGCACATGTAGATCCAGCTCCCTCTCTTCCGTGGCCTTGTATCCATCGTGTGTCTGCTACATTCCCTTAAATGTCTTGTTAGTTTTGCCATGAAGAGCATCTCTATGATAAATGTTCACCACTCATGAAATCTGAGCATCTCTTTTATGTTTATTGGCCATTTGGATTTTCTTTTCAATGAAATAGCAGCTTTATAGCAGTTAAATACACAGACTCTTAAAAGAAATGTTCTGTTTCATGCACAAAGAATGTTAAACTTGTCTGTATTTTAACAATGTCATTTTTATATCTTCATGGGAAAATTTTATAGTAATTTTTGACTCAGTGGTTCTCAGTATGTCTGCTGAATTAAAGACATCACCATTCTTGCCAGATCTGGTTTTTTTTTTTCTTTTTGTCTTTGAATTTGCCCAGAGTTTCTTCCATCTAGGGTACTAATAGTTGAGATAATGAGCCATATATACAAATTGCTTCTGAACATTTCCTTGATTTTTGTTTTGCAGATTTTCCCTTTAGATGTCTCCAATTTGGGTACTTCTCTTTCCTGTGTGATGTTATTAAAAGTAAACAGAAACCATGATGAAGGAAGTCATTTCATTTAGGGTAAAACATATTTAGAATAAAATGTTGTTGTTCAATCACTAAGTCGTGTCTGACGCTTTGGACTGCATCAAACATATTTAGAATAAAATGTTGTTGTTCAATCACTAAGTCGTGTCTGACGCTTTGGACTGCAGCGCTCCAGGCTTTTCTGTCCTTCACTGTCCCCCAGGGTTTGCTTGAACTCATGTCCATTGAGTCGGTGATGCCATCCAACCATCTCATCCTCTGTCTCATCTCGTCTTCTCTTCCACCCCTCAGTCTTTCCCAGCATCAAAGTCTTTTCCAGTGAATTGGCTCTTCACATCAGGTGGCCAAAGTATTGGAGCTTCAGCAACAGTCTTTCCAGTGAATATTTAGGATTGATTTCCTTTAGGATTGACGGGTTTGATCTCTTTGCTGTCCAAGGGACTCTCAATAGTCATCTCTAGTGCTCCAGTTCAAAAGCATCAGTATTTCAGCACTCAGCCTTCTTCATGATTCGTCTCTCATGTCTGTACATGACTACTGAAATAAAACATATGTAGACTAAAATCATTAGCATATGAAGAGAAAATACGGTGTTTTTAAAAACAAATGGAGAAGGAAACGGCAACCCAGTCCAGTATCCTTGCCTGGAAAATCTCATGGACAGAGGAGCCTGGTGGGCTGCAGTCCATGGGGTTCCAAAGAGTCAGACACGACTGAGCGGCTGACACACCTACACTTAAAAACTAAGGAAGGTTAAGACAAAGTTAAAAGTCAGGAAAACCTGTTAGGGAGAAGCAGGCAAAACATATCATACTCATGACTGGTTACACTTAGTTATTGGGGAAAAAGAATTGTCAGCATTTTTGTAGTTATTAGGTAAGGTGTATTTTAAATTGTGTTTAAAATGTTATCCCCATTTACTCTCTACCAGAATATTTAAAAGAAGAAAAGAATAGTTAGTTTAAACTAGTGCCCATCCTCCTGGTTTGGTTTAAAGGAAATTAAACTCCCTGCATTCAGGAAAATAACAGTGACCCATCCTCAGCTCAGAACCTCTCGAAGGGTCACCCCTGACCAGAATCTCTTTAAAAGTGGAAACAACATGACTCCCTTTTAATAGAGAAATGCTGCATAAACCACATTTTAATCTGTCTCCTCAATGGGTCACATGTCATACATTACATATATTTCACTCCAAGATTTAAAAAATATTTTTGGTGGAAAGAAGTTTGAATGTGTAATATAACTTTATTAGCTTCCAAAGAGTGACATTTTCCCAGCGTTTGTATATGTAATATGATTTTCCTACTTACATAAATGGTTTTATTTTGGTCACCAGCAAAAGTAAGCCGCCTCCTGTCTCCACTGAATTGCCTGGCCTGACAGTTTTCTGCTAGTTCCTTTAACAAGTTGTTTGTGTCACTCTTTTCACTGACAGCCATTCATCGGAACAGCCCCCGTCCTGTGAAGGTACCGCGATGCCATAGCGACCCTCCTAACCCGCATCTGATTATCCCAACTCCAGAGGGATTCAGGTATTTGGTGCCTGTGTAGTTGTTTGCTGTACAAATTCTCCTCTGATGTGCATGCCAACCTGAGACCTGCTGATGCTTGCCCTGATACCAAATACTGTTTTCTGTATTGTTTATACGTTTCTAAAAGCTCTTATTTTCGTTTTCTTCAAGACACACCACACTGCCTTAGTTACAAAAGAAGACTTGCAAATTTAAAGCAAACTTGTACCTTTCAAGATAACTTTGTTTCTCAGCTTATTTTTAACTGCCAGCTACTAAATGCTTTCCAGCTTTGGAATAATTCTTTCTTTTCCTTTCTTTGAAAAATAACTTTAGGAAAACAAATTTGAGTGTGCATTGCATGGTAAACATTTGAAAAGCAGAACTAAGTGTCATTTTAAAAGCTGGAGATAAAAACTGGAGTGACCCTTCCAGTCTTGACTTCTATGTGTGTATGTAACTATGAAGCAACTTAAATTTTGAGTGAGTTGGAAACTCTGATACATTCAAAACGCTTCCCTTGAATGTGGTGGCGTTTCTGCATGTGGAAGCGGTGAGCGTTTCTCTCTCCTGAGAGTCAAGTAGTTTTTAAGTTAGTTTTCTTTCTTGCAGTACTTGGCTAGGAAAGGACCACAATTATTGTCAAAAATAACTAGCTTGAAATTAGTTACTTTTTTTCATGGGCGTGTGTGCTCAGTCGCTCAGTCGTGTCCGACTCTCTGCGACCCCAGGGACTGTAGCCCACCAGGCTCTTCCGTCCATGGGAATCTCTAGGCAAGAAGACTGGCGTGGGGTGCCGTGCCCTGCCCTCCGGGCGATCTTCCCAGCCCAGGGATGGAACATGCGTTGCCTGCATTGGCAGGCCAGTTCTTTACCACTGAGCCACCTGACCTGAATCTCAAAGAGCAGTGTGTGTTTTCTGTCTGAAGATGATTTTTTGCTTCCTCACCCTGTGTTATCTTTTCCTGAAACCACGTGAGAGCCCGTCCCCTTCCTCGCCTGAGTGCCCATGAGACCAGGTAGTCTGCCCCGCCCCTCGCCCCGGGTGCAGTGCCCGTGAGCCCAGGTGGTCTGCCCGCCTGCCCAGGCCCATCAGCAGTGCCCGTGAGCCCAGGTGGTCTGCCCTGCCCCTCGCCCCGGGTGCAGTGCCCATGAGCCCAGGTGGTCTGCCCGCCCGCCCAGGCCCATCAGCAGTGCCTGTGAGCACAGGTGGTCTCCCTGCCTGCCCCGCACCCCCCCAGCTCTCCTGCTGTGGCCTCGGCTCTGGAATGCGTCCCAGGGCTCGTGGGGCTGCTTTTGTGTGGTCGGGCGATGCTTAAGGGCCCTCCTTGGGGTGTCGTGGCCCCAAAGCTCCAGCACAAGTAGATTATCTGCCCGACTTTTATATTTCTTTGACACAAACATTAATCCAAATGACTAGAGTTTCTGCCGATGATAACCATGCAGGGAGTATCCATGAGAGAACCCGGCCCACTGGTAGGAGAATTCTGGCAAATACAGCGCCTTTCCTGAAGAGTTTCTCAGGGGTCGCTCAAAGCTGACTTCTCTCTAGGTTATACCTAGAAGTGGTGGTGGTTTGTTTTTTTTTTTAATCACTTTTCAAACCCAATCTCCTGATATACACAGTTGTTGATTAGAAGTCGTTTATAGTGGTGGGGAAAATGAGTTCATGAGGTTTGTATCTCGTATGGAGACTAGATAATTACTAGAGAGAGCTGTCAGACGAGCGTGAGCCTCTTGCCTGACATCTGCTGTGTCAGTACTGAGGCCGTGGCAGCTTTTCCCATTTTGGCCGAGTTACTTGGTGGTGGGGTGGCGGAGGCGGGTGTGTAGGGGATCTCATCAAGGTCTCAGATGCTTAAAGGAGAAAGGACATTTGGTGGCTCTTAATCCACCCTTGGGCAATAGAATGGACACTGTCACTCTTCTCATCTTCCTGTAAGGATGCTGAAAGAGTGAAACAAAATTGAACAAAAACAATGAACCTGGGAAAGAACTCGGTGCTCTTTATCCTGCTCCCAAGAAGAAATATTAGTGTGTTGGCAGAAAGGTGACATGTGGTTTTAGAATTTAAAATAGACTGGTTCAGTTCAGTCACTCAGTCGTGTCCGAGACTAAGGTATGTTTAATGTATTCATCTTTAATGGGAGGATGACTGCTTTACAGTATTGTGTTGGTCTCTGCCACACATCCACATGAAGACGAAGGTATTTTTACACTTAGTTTATAGCAGTCTAAAACGTCTACAGATACTTCCCATTTTCTCATGCATTAAAATAATTAAAATTCCCTAATTTTTAGTAACGAATGTTAGTCTATAACCTAAAAAAAAAAGCCCAAGTATTTTACAGCTTAAGCAGTCAACTAAAAAAAAATTAACAATTAACATTGAACAAATTCCCATTGACCCTGTTTTCTTAATGTTGAGCGCATTTCACGGCAGACACATCCACGGGTGCTTCATGGCCGTGTGGGGGGTTGCAGCGGTCTCTTTTGTTAGTTCAGTGAGGGAACTGACGAGCCCCGACAAGCAGTCATAGTTGAGAGCACTCAGCCAGCACTGCGCTTCCCACGCGGTTTCTGCAGAACTAGAGTTTCCGTGAACTCTTGGTTCAGGCTTTGGTCATTCGGGGTGCGTACCTTGGAACAGGTTTTTGTACAGTTGGCCTGTGCCCACCCTTGGTCTCAGGCCCTGGCCAGGTGGTTTCTCAAGCGTGTTGTGAGCAGCATTTCAGAAGTGTTCTTCGTTTATCCTTTAGGACAGTCCTTGAGATCTAGACATTTTGCTTCCATCATAACGTGCCATCTCGAAGGCCTTTCCTCACTGAGGAATGAAGTGGTCTGTGCTTCCTGGCGGTGTGTGTGCTGGGAGTTAGGGGGCCCGAGGGGTCAGCCCCCTGGCACCCTCCAACGCAAACCTCTGCCCCAGGATCCTGGGGCCGGGATCGGCTGGGGGAGGCAGGGTGGTTCCCGGGCTCCCTGACCGCGGCAGCCTGTGTGCGGCGCTGGCCTGCCTTAGAGATACGTCAGATACACAGGGAAATTTTTACTTTGCCCCACGATATCCAATCAACACTTTGATTCGATACAGTTTGACTTAGGAAACGGGCTTTGGCAATCTTACCATTGTTGAGAAAACAGCCTTCCAGTGTTCTGCTTGCTGGAGTATCTCTTAACTGGTTTGCGAGAGCCGGTTGTTTGTTTCTCAGGAGTTGTGCAACTCAGTTGTTAGAGCACAGAGACTGTTGAAGTCTGCAGACTCCCGCTCCCCCTGCAGAGAGCTGTTAGGCGTTCACCCATACACCGTTTGGTTGAACTGTGTTTTCTTGCCTGTTTCCCTGGCAGAAGTCTGAGGATGTGGAGTTGGCTAGCCTCTCTGGGAAAGCAGGAAGATGGGGATGTTAGTGGCTTCTCCATGGTCCCAGGATTGGCGCAGTTTAGGAGGAGGGTGTTTTTTCTTCACTTCCGCATCAGTGATTTTTTTTCTGTAAAATGATGCCAAGACTTCTTGATGAACTACATAGCAGGAGAGAGCCTCCTCACTCCAGACTTAACATGGACTGCACTAGACTTGAGAGTGTAGGGAGATAAAAGCCTTGCACACTTCATAATTTGTGAATGTCTGTCCAATAGACCATATTGCTTTAAACCCACTCAGTCTGTAATAAAAAAGCATAAAAGCTACCATACTTCATTATATCATTCGTTTAAAAAAATACGCACTAAACTGGTTAATAAACTAACACCGTATTTATTTCGGATGATCTGAATTATAATTTAATGCTTGCCATTATTTAATTCTGGGCTTGATATACCCTTTTGTGGACTCATTCTGGATTGCTGAACACTTTTCTTCTGGAAAAGCTGCAAATTAGCTTTGCTCTTTACATGTTAAGCTTCCTGCTCTTCTGCCCTTTTGCTTAGCTGTTGCTTAAGAAGTGGTTAGGTGTTCCCTTCCACCTGCTCCTGAAGAGACTTGAGCTGTTGTGAATCATGTAATGATTTTAGCACTTCAAATGGAATTAAGTACTTGAATATAATGTGATGATCATAAATACTAGCCAGATTTGGCTCCTAATTTTAATCCATCCTGGGCTTAAATTAGCTTTCCACACGTGTCAGTAATTCTTCAGCAACTACTGTTTTGTTTTCGTTGCTGTCTTTGACGTGAAGCCATGTATTGTGCAGCCAGGTCCTCCTGTGTCCTCCTTCCAAACCCCAGAGACAGGTGTCTCGGTAGGGGCGCCGTCACTTCAGGTGAATCAGTCTTGGTTTGGGGGCTGTCCTTCATGTCGTCCTTTACCCATGGATGCCTGATGTTCTTGTGGGGCAGAGTCACCCCCAATTGAGAATCATTGCTCTAGAAGACTCTGACAAATCTTTCAAGTTCTATCAGATTGATAGCTTAATTTTTAAAATGTTGAAACAGGGGTTCCAGCGTCCCTGAAAATGACCGCCTGGCTTCCATCGCAGCTGAGTTGCAGTTCAGGTCGCTGAGCCGCCACTCCAGCCCCACCGAGGAGCGCGAGGGTGAGTGTGTGAGGTGTCCACTGCGTCCCCTGCCAGCCTCACCGCTCGTCCCGGGCCCTGGCTTCCGCTGAGAACGGGGAGTGACAGAGCCTTGGAGAGGTTTAGTGCTGGGCACGCTGGCCTTTTAATATAGATGCCTTTCTGCATGTGCATTTTCTCCCTCTGTCACTAAATAATTTTGAAAAATAATTGTTCCTGATATTTTAATTGTCGAGTGCTCTTAATTCACTTTAAAAATAGAAACTGGCACTGTGCTTGTAGATGACAGGCTTAAGTTTTATTAGAATGCAGAACTAGGAGTCTTTGCCCAGAAACCACACGGTTGCTCCTGCAGCTCTGCTGTGCTCTTGGGTAGGACCCTGGGAAGGGGGTACCCCTCCCGCTCCCCCACGCCCCCGCCCCCCCAGCAAAATCCAGTTTCTGCTCAGTATTCTGTCAGCTGTTACTTGTGGAACCTTAATGTAGTTAAAGTCCTGTAACCCCATTCACAACTTCTTAGTTTGGTATAGTTTGCTCTAAATGATTGTAGAGACAGCTTTTGACTCTCATCAAACAAATTAATCACTGGGAATGACAGGTTGGTGGTTAACTAATCATCACTACTCACCTACATTTCATTCTGGCTCTGAATCAAATATGCCTGTTTGTTTTATAAGTCTTACTAGTTTGTATGAAAAAATACTCTCTGCAGAACCAGCATATCCAAAAGGTGATTCAAGTGGGTCAACTCGAAGAAGTTGGGAACTTCGGACACTTATCAGTCAGACCAAGGGTAAGAGAAAGAATGTTGAATGTTTAAGCATAAAGCAAACTGTTTCAGCTAAGATGTGCTTCAGCTTATGGCTTACTCGACCTTCTGCATTAATGTTTTATGGTCCCTTTTGTGCCTCTGGCATCACTTCCTGTCTGTGCTGTGTGTGTGCAATTCCTATTTCTTATCATCATAAGTTCCTTTGGAGCAGGAATGTGTTTTTCTCAGTTTTGTATTCTTTAAGCAGGGTGATATTCATTTTATGTGTCACATGGGTGGGCCCTTGGCATAACCCTTTGAACATGTTGTGTGTGTTAAGTTACTTGGTCCAACCCTTTGTGACCCTATGGACTGTAGCCTACCAGGTTCCTCTGTCCATGGGATTCTCCAGGCCAGAATACTGGAGTGGGTTGCCATGCCCTCTTCCAGGGGATCTTCTTGACCCAGGGATCAAATTGGGGTCTCTTAAGTCTCCTGCATTAGCAGGCGGGTTCTTTACCACTAGCACCACCTAGAAGGCCTTATAACAGAAAACATATTTCTTTAATTATATTAAGTAATATTCTTTTTAACACTGCTCCCATTCAAGGGAACATTCACCCTTAAAAATAATATTTCTGTCAGTTTTATTTTTCCTTTATTTTAGCATAAAATCAGGAAATATTTTGCTATTCCTACCAGGAATAAGAATGGAAGATTCTAAGTTTAAGTAATATCCTCCATCTCTCATGTATCTTTATAATTCACATTTCACAAGCATACCTCTCTTGTATCAACACTTTGAAATGTTTCAAAGAAGGTACCCTTTCAACTAGAAATTAGTGGAGAACACTGTCCTATACTCTAATTCATGATATTATGGATTACCTTGGAAAAAAAAGTCACCATTTTGGGGGAAGGCTAGCATTTAAAATATTCTACTTTTTGGTCTTTTCTAATAGTAAGCATGTTTCTTTATACTGCAAACTGTTCAAAAATGTGTTTTCTCTCATATTATAGTGCTTTCCTACTAGATAGAACCAGAAGTTACAGTCCCACACCTTAAGGGTAGCTGACTTATTTCAAAAGCTCTGTTAAACAGACAGCTTTTAACTTTAAGTTTCATGCTGTCTGCTGGAAATGACAAGAAAGGGAATATTTTGAGCCTAATGTTCAAATCAGTCATTCAACTTTTCACATGTCTCTTGTTGATGATGCTGTTCATTTTATTTGATAAATTATGCAATGTCAAAAAGCAAGATACCTTCTCAAAGTATTTCTATCTTATGGGAGACTAGCTGATAAAGTATGACACAACTATAATACTGTGCTTTCTTTCAAGGCAAAGATTTCTACAGTAGTTTTCATTGAAAGAATATTAGAGCCAAGGTGCACTTAGTCAATTATGGGGCAACTGCTAATGGAGATAGAAACAAACTTTGTAATAGTAATATAGTGGTAAGAGCAGCAAATATAGGATACAAAGAATTGAAAATGGAAAGCATGGTATATGCTTCTTGAAGGGGCTTTAATATATTGCCTATACTTGGTCTCACTTATTTGTTGCTTAATTGAGCAAATGGCTTATTCTCCTGGACATTGTAAAAGCAAGAATACATAGAACAGTACAAAAAAGATCTTCACAACCCAGATAATCACAATGGTGTGATCACTCACCTAGAGCCAGACATGCTGGAATGTGAAGCCAAGTGGGACTTAGGAAGCATCACTACAAACAAAGCTAATGGAGGTGATGGAATTCCAGCTGAGCTATTTCAAATCATAAAAGATGAGGCTGTGAGAGTGCTGCACTCAATATGCCAGCAAATTTGGAAAACTCAGCAGTGGTCACAGGATTGGAAAACGTCAGTTTTCATTCCAATCCCAAAGAAAAGCAATGCCAAAGAATGTTACAACTACCACACAATTGCACTCATCTCACACACTAGTAAAGTAATGCTCAAAATTCTTCAAGCCAGGCTTCAGCAATATGTGAACCATGGACTTCCAGATGCTCAAGTTGGTTTTAAAAAAGGCAGAGGAGCCAGAGATCAAATTGCCAATATCAGCGGGATCACTGAAAAAAAACAAGAGAGTTCCAGAAAAAAAACATCTATTTCTGCTTTATTGACCATGCCAAAGCCTTTGACTGTGTGGATCACAATAAACTGTGGAAAATTCTGAAGGAGATGGAAATAACAGACCACCTGACCTGCCTCTTAAGAAATCTGTATACAGGTCGGGAAGCAACAGTTGGAACTGGACATGGGACAATAGATTGGTTCCAAATAGGAAAAGGAGTACATCAAGGCTGTATATTGTCACCCTGCTTATTTAACTTATATGCAGAGTANTGATGCTGAAGCTGAAGCTCTGATACTTTGGCTACCTGATGTGAAGAGCTGACTCATTGGAAAAGACGCTGATGCTGGGAAAGATTGAAGGCAGGAGGAGAAGGGGACAACAGAGGATGAGATCATTGGATGGCATCACCGACTCAATGGAGATGAGTTTGGGTAAACTCCGGGAGTTTTTGATGGACAGGGAGGCCTGGCATGCTGCGATTCATGGGGTCGCAAAGAGTTGGACACGACTGACGGGACTGAACTGAACTGAACTGTAATTTTGAACATCTTTAGATAAAAAAAAAAAATCAACTTCCACAGCATGTGTAATTTCAAAACATCAGCAGTGTATGAAAAGGAAAATTTTATGTTTTGAGGAGCAGTTTGAAATTATAAAGTGTTTAGAAAGAAAATAACTGAAAGAATAAGTGATGTCTTCCAAGCAACAGAGAGAAAGGAATCCACTTTGTTTCCCATCAGTGACTAAGTGCAAAAACAAAAAAAATGTCTATGCTATGTAATATAAAGAGACTATCTTTGATGCTTGTCCAAGATTCCTAGCACAAGGCTCCTAAAACTCTTGCAGTTTACTGAGTAATAGGAGTTTCTTTTGTTATTCATAATGAGCTCTTCTTGATCACGGCTGAGTTTGTATTAGTGAAGTGGCTTAGATTGGGATCCCTAGATAGGGTCAAAATGGTTCAGGTCACCAGAAAGACAACGTGATTAAAAGGTTGGAACTTTCAGCCCAAGTCCTTGACTTTGATGGGCAGGGAGGACTGGAGATTGTGCTCTATTAAGTACTCTTGAACAGTGAGATTCAAGAAGCTGCTGGGTTGGTGAACAAATCAAAGTGTTAAAAGGGTAGTGCAGTGAAAGAGGGCATGGAAGCCACACACCACATAGCCCCGAATCTTCCTAAGCATTTTTCCATTTAGCAATTCCTGAGTTATATCCTTTGTAGTAAGCCAGTGAAAGTGTGTTCCTGAGTTCTTGGAGCTATTCTATTCTATTCTAAATTGTCAAACCTGAGATGGGGTCATATGAGCCCACTACTTAAAGCAGATCAGTGAGAAGTATGGCTGGTCCTTAGGACTTACCACTGAAATGATAAGTTCATTATCATTAGAATGATAAGTCCATTACCACTTACCATCAAAAATGGGGAAAATCTTGTGGGATCTGATTCTAAGTAGTGTTAGAATTGAATTGAATTATTGGAGATCCAGTTAGTATTGGAGTATCAGAAAATTGGTTGTTGATATGGAAAAAACTCCAAACAGACTGGGAAAACGTCAAGTACTGCTATCCTGACTTTAGTCAGGAACAAGGCCTAAAGAAACTGAGAAAGCAGGAAACAAAAATGATCAAGTGTAAAACAAACCAAAAGCACAAAAACTGAAATAAATTTTCTCACAAAGAGAACAGACGATATACAACAGCCTTAAATAGAAATAATTGAATCCTACAGAAGTGGCTTGTTTTAATTCTAGTGGTGGCTACTTAAGTGATTTCAAACACAAGTACAATTTTCAAAGCCCTATCCAGTCAGACAAAGCCATGAGAAGTGCAGATGAGAAATCCACAAAATAATTCACAGCAGTGATACTTAAGTTAATCTATTCATCAGATCAAATATTCAATTTTGGTTAAATGACTATTAAAAACTCATGCCTTAAAGTGCTAACAGGAAAAGTTTGAAGAGCTCTTATATGTCATTAACATGACCTGAATGTAAGACTGGGAAAGATTCTTAATTGTGGTGTTTGGCAACAGTGTCAAATTCAGTAAAATTAGTAATATCCATCAAAATCTGATGCTACAACTTTCCATATGATTTCAGATAATCCCTCCATGCAACCTCACACTGACTAACAAGCTGCAACTCTTCTGAAACCCATTTTCAGATCTTTTTCAAGGTAAAGTGCCATATTTATTGTGGCATTTATGATTTTATTTATATTTTAATCTTTTAATGTGAAACTGTGCTACCATATTTATTAAGTTCTTATTATTTGTTTTTTTCTAATGTGGCATTAACAAAGTGATTGAATGTTGTGTCTCCAACCTTATTTTTTGCCATGAGCCCTGTGGTTTTATACTGTGCAATTTTGAAAAATGTGGTGATTTTTAGGGCATAAGTCCTATGATAGCAGAACTGACTATACCTTAATACTTTAAAATCGATCCCTAGAGGAAGTCAGATAACCAGAGAGCTGTGTGATGGAGTCAAATCATTTTAATTTCTCAAATAATTGCTTTCTCTGAATGGTTCTTTGACATTAGGTAATCAACCTACAGTGAAGCACATAAGAAACTATCCTGTGAAACTCATCATTCTATTCACTGTGAAAACATTGGTGAGTATGATGTTCACTACATCATCCAGTGTTCTCTTTATGATGATCCATGAAAGAAATTTCACTCTGGCCTCAGGACGCAGAAAGAGTTATTCTTCTCTTGAGAAACTACTTTGCTATTATTTTTATGTATCCTGAGACTTTCAAAGGAGTATCTTAATAAAACTCAATGAATATTCTTAAATAAAAGAATAAATGTATATTTAACCATGTTTTCTTCTCCACTTTGGCTGTGAAAATACAGAGTCAAATGTGTGAACATTTTCTAGTAACTGTACAGACTTCACAGCACATATTTTGTTATTGTATCATTTCAGGGCTTATTTTCCTTTTGTACAAATGCTCTTACTCACTTATT